CTGCCCCCCCCCGGAGCAGCCGTCCCTGCCGCACCTTGGCACCGCAGGGCTGGTTTGGCAGATGCCGTTGGGGCACCCTGGGGGTTTTGGGGGCACAGAGGCTTGGCACCAGCCCCTGCCATGGTCCCCCCACTCCTGCTGTGCCACTGCAGGCTCACCCATCCCTGAGCCACGTCAGCGAGGGGCCGGGTGCCAGCAGGAGGGCACACTGCCCGGCTGCCCCTTTAAGGCCAGAGCCAGTGGTGTTCGCTTTCGTCCCAGGAAAATGAACCTCTAATTGCAGCGCCGGGCATGGGGGGGTCCCGGGGGCTGCGTCGACACGCCCCTCCCCCGCCGAAGCCGCGGCTGCTGGACCCCGCAGTGATGGCTTGCGTGCAGGTCCGTGTCCCCGTCCCCCTCTCCCCATCCCTGCCACCCCGCGCTCACCTCCCTGTGTCTTGCAGGTGGCTCTTCGCATCCGTCCGATGAGCACGGCCGAGCTGGCGGAGGGGGCCAGGCCCATCGCCCACCGCGTGGATGAGCAGGTACGGCCACAGGATGGGCAGCCACAGGTTCACTGGGCACCGCCCGGCCTTGGTGCTTCGCCCATCCCACCGGGTCAACAGGGCGAGGTACCCCAGTGCAGGATGCGACCCTCGGTGCGCTGCACGCCCCGGGATGTCCCTGGCAGCACCCAGCGCTCTGTGTGATGCCCACGTGTGCAAGGCACAGGCTGGGGGGGCACCCTGCAGCCTCACAGCCCCTGCAGGAGACCCTACAATAACAAAGCAATAGGGTGGGAAACTCTGGGGGCTCTGGCTCAGGAGCCCCCCTTCCTGCAGCGCAGTAGGACACCAGCGCTGCCTGTCCCCGTCCCCAGCCCTGGGCGGAGGGGGGGCCATGCAAGGCGGGCGGAGGTGGAAGTAAGGCAGCAGCGAGGGAGCAGCTTGCATCGGGGAAAGGTCAAAACCTGGATTGCAATGGGAGCCAGCAGGGACCCTGGGAGCAGGGGACCCTGCGAGGGGCTATTCCACACAGGGACGGGGACACGCAGGGTCCCTGCATGGCGCCGGCATCCCCAGCCCCCTCGCGGTGCCCAGGCAGCGGGCACCTTGGCGGGCCGTGCTCACAGAGGAGCCTTTGTGCCGCCGTGCCCAGGTGGGTGCAGCCGGCAGGTCCCCTGGCACCGCGCACAGAGCTGGCTTTGAGCCTCAGCTCAGCCTGGGGACAATGGGACAATTCAGGAGCACAAAGGGCCCCATGCCGCCAGCACCGGCACCGGCCTGGGCACCTCCTGTGCCCTGGCACGGAGGCGACACTGGCTCCGGCAAAGCAGGGGAGGGATGCCCACAGTGATGTGCTCTCCCACTGCCCCTTGCCCACTGGCCGGGATGGAGCTGCTCAGCAGACCTGGGCCACTCCGGTGCTCCCGGGGAGCCGTGCTGCAGGGCCACCCCTGTGTCGGGGCTGGGGAGAGCATCCTGGTGCATCCGTCTGTCCATGCACCATAGTGCTCACTATGCCAGCAGCCCACGGGGCTCTCAGCACCTCATTACACCTCAGGGCCCAACCGGGCACTAATTAGCACCATTAATGGCAGCGCAATGCCCAGCGTGTGCTGTACCTCCACAGGAGGCTGGAGGTGACCCCGGAGCAGAGGGGTGGTGGGTGCCCGGGGCCAGTGCGTGCCCCCTGGCCAGCCCCGCTCACGTTCCCTGGCAGGTTGTGGTGCTGCAAGACCCTATGGAAGACCTCGATGATGTCCTGCGTGCCTGTCGCTCCCGGGAGAAATCTTACATCTTTGACGTGGCCTTCGACTCCACAGCCACCCAGGTGGGTCCCTCAGGGCACAGGGGGATGCAGGGTGGGGGGAGGCAGGCTGGGGTGCTGGGGGCAGCGGGTGGAGGTGGGGGACAGCAGGGTGCACCCCAGGGCTTCTCTCCCTCCTTCAGGAGACCGTGTACTGTGCCACCGCCCGGGGCCTCATCGCGGGCGTCATCTCTGGCTACAATGCCACCGTCTTTGCCTATGGCCCCACTGGTGAGAGGTGTGGGGCCGGGGAGGGGGCCAGCTCTGTGGCCATGGGGGGGGTCCCAGCCCTGAGCGAGCCCCCTCATCTCCCCCAGGCTGTGGGAAGACCTACACCATGCTGGGCACCGACGGCGAGGCCGGCATCTGCACCCGCACCCTGGGCGACCTCTTCCAGGCCATCGAGGACACCAGCAGTGACACGGAGTATGAAGTCTCCATGTCCTACCTCGAGGTGCGGCGGGGGGGCTCAGGGACGTCCCCCTCCCCGGGGAGGGCAGGGGACAGCAAATGGCACGTGGCCCCAAGCCGGGCGTCTTTGCACCCAGCGTGGGATGCTGTGTTCCCGCGGGTCCCCATGCTGGAGGGGACGTGCCCAGTTCCTTCCCCCTGCCCAGATCTACAACGAGTTGATCGGGGATCTGGTGACCCCCTCGCTGGCCTGCCTGCAGCTGCGGGAGGATGCCAGCGGCACCGTCCAGGTGGCCGGCATCACTGAGGTCTCTGCCATCAACGCCGAGGAGGTGAGCCAGCGGGCAACCATGGGTCATGGGGGGGATCTGGTGAGTCCCCCCTGCCCGGCGCTGCCCATCTGCCCCAGGTCATGAAGCTGCTAGCGCGGGGAAACCGGCAGCGGACACAGGAGCCCACAGCCGCCAACCGCACCTCGTCGCGTTCCCACGCGGTGCTGCAGGTCACCGTGCGCCAGCGGCGCCAGGGCAGGCAGCTGCACCGTGGCCGCCTCTTCATGATTGACCTGGCGGGCTCCGAACGGGCAGCGCAGGTACAGCACCGGCCTGGGGGGCTGCAAGGCCAGGGAGCCCCCCCAGCCCCTCTTTTGCCAAGTTTTTGCCTCTGCCTTCCCCTCCCTTCCCAGACGCAGAACCGTGGGCAAAGGATGAAGGAGGGAGCCCACATCAACCGCTCACTGCTGGCCCTGGGCAACTGCATCAAGGCCCTGAGCAACCAGGCGAGCACCAAGTATATCAACTACCGCGACAGCAAGCTGACCCGCCTGCTCAAGGTGTGGCCAGGGGTCCCAGCTCCCCTCGGCGGGGTCCAAACTGGGGAGGGGGCACAGGCTGCCCCTGCCCCGGTCCCTCTCAGCCACACTCTCCGTGGCCAGGACTCACTCGGGGGCAACAGCCGCACAGTGATGATCGCCCACATCAGCCCAGCCAGCACCGCCTTCGAGGAGTCCCGCAGCACCCTCACCTACGCCCACCGCGCCAAGAGCATCTGCACCACGGTAGGGCCGGGAGCGCAGGCACCCTCCACCCTGGGCACCAGCCTTTTCCTGGCCCCCTCCCCAAGCAGCCCTGGCCCCACTGCCCCCCAAGAGGGAGGGCACGAGGTGTTTGTCCTTACGCTGCCCCATGGGTGCCTGGAGCAGGGGAACGACTTGGGGCACTGCTCTGCTGGCTGTGGCATGCTCAGGACCTGCTCCATGGCCATGCATGGCTTGGGGACCCTATGGGGACATGTTCTATGGCCATGTACTGCTTGGGGACACAGCTTGGGGACCCTATAGGGACACAGCTGTGTTCTGCCTGCGGACCTTGCTTGGGGATCCTACTCAGAGATATACTTGGGGACCTGCTCCACCAGCTCTGTCCTGCTCAGGGACCCCAGTTAGGACCCTGCTTGGGGCCGGGCTGAGCTGGGGCCACGGGACACTCACACCAGCCCCGTCCCAGGTGAGGGACAACCTGCTTAGTGTCTCATACCATGTGGCACAGTATGGCAACGTCGTGGCTGACCTGCACAGGGAGATCAAGCACCTCAAGGGCAAGGGGGACACTGAGCCAGGGCAGCCAAGGCAGGGTGACCGCCGGGACACTCCTTACATCCAGGGTACGGCCTGGCCCCCCCTGCCCTCCCTCAGCCCCGCAGGGCTTGGCGCTGATGCCCCATGCCTCCAGCCCAGGTTCAGCTACACGGTGCCCGCTGCACCCACCCGGAGCTGGGCTGCGTGCAGGAGGAGCTGCTTGGTGCCTGCTGCGAGCAGGCAGCCCTGCGCCACCTCCTCCTCCGGCTGGAGGGCACCGAGCTGCACGCCCAGCACCTCCTCGCCCTCGCCCAGTACGTGGGTGCAAAGCCCCCCCGGGGATGGGGTCCCCTGGCCAGCCAGGCTGGGGGTGAGACCACCTCCTCTTCCCCACAGCAGGACACAGCGGGGCTGGCACTGGAGCAAGGAGGGGCAGGGGGAGCTGGACGGCCCCAGTGACAGCAAGAGGGACTCGGACATGGGGGACAAGCGGTTGGACGTGCCAGAGCCACCCGCCGTGGCCGCTGCCCACAAGAGCATTGTGGCTCTGGTGGAGGAGCAGAGCAGGCTCCAGCCGCGGAAGGTTTGGGAGCCCTCTCCCCACCGCCGGCAGCTGAAACCCCGTCACTGTGGAGCTGAGTTTGACAAGTCTCAGCCCAGCAGCATGAGTCCCCCAGCAGTCCTGGAGGGAGATGGATACTTACAGAGTGGGGTGTGGGTTGGGGCAAGGGGCCCTGGAAGGGATGCTGGCACCATGGCAGGGATGGTGACCCTGTGGCAGGGATGCTGGCCATGGGCAGGGATGCTGATCCCAAGACAGGGATGCTTATCCCGTGGCAGGGATGCTGGCTGTGGGCAGGGACCCTAACCCCGCTGCATGCCTGCAGGCAGAGCTGGCGCGGCACTTCCAGCAGAGCCAGCAGCCTGTGTGGTGTCTGGAGGAGGCCCTGCAGCGTCGGAGCAGCTCGGAGGAGCAGCGGGAGGTGCTGGCCCTGCTGTGCCGTCTGCACCAGCTGGAGCTGGAGATGGCAGAGATGCACTCCCGCACCCTGCTCAAGGGTGGCCTCCGGCACCCGCTGGCTGCCACTACGCAGCGCTTCGACGAGCATCGGGCCCTTTGCACCCGCATCATCCACCAGCAGCGACAGCTTATCTCCGGTGCGTCCCTCTCGTGACTTCTGCCATGTCAAAGGGGCCTCTTGTGTGTTGTGGCAGTGGGAGTCCTGCAGTGTCACCGGGTTATTGCAATGGGACGCGCTGCAATGCAAAGTCCCCCCGGTGTCGTGACACAGCCGCAACACTGCCACCTGAGCCCGGCGTGGCGTGGCACGCAGCCCAGTTGATGCTCACCGCCCTGCCCTCTCGCTGGCAGACCACCAGCTGTCGGTGCCACGGCCGCTGGAGGAGCTGTACGAGACCTACCTGCGGGAGCTGGCGGGGGGCCCCGGGGACACTGGCACCCTCGAGGTAAGGCAGGGTGGCAGGGTACCCCCCACACGCCCCAGGCAGGGCACTCACCCCCGTCCCCTGCCCAGGGCACGTCCCTGCCCAAGATCCCACAGGTGACCGGCACAGGGAGCCTGCCGGACTCGGACCGGGACAGCGCGTGGGCACAGAGCCGCGAGCGCCCCACGCGGCTGCGGCATGATGCCCTCCCACCCCTGCGCCCCACGGGGGACAGGTACAAGTGGGCATCCACCACCCCCTGGGTACCCGGGGCTGCACATGCCCCACAGCCACCACAGCAGTGGGTAAGGGGTGTCCCCTCTCCAGCAGCGCCCTGACCCCCATGTTCAAGAAGATCCCACGGGCACACCAGCTGGGGAGCACGGCGGTGCCCACCTCACCTCCCAGACGGGGCATGGTGGGCCAGGTGAGCACAGCTGTGCTGCCGGCATCGAAGCCCCGAGGTGGGGATGCTTATGAGTGCTGTGTGTCCCAGCGGCACACGTCATGGGCCAGCCTGAGCACCCGGCATGACTCCTCCCCGGGCAGTGGGACCGGCTCGGAGGCAGCGGTGGCAGCAGGCAGGGGTGAGCAGAGTGGCCGGCGGGGCTGGGTGGGCAGCTGTGCCCTGCTGATGGTCCCACCATGCTGCAGGGCGCCAGGAGATGTCGAGCAGCACCAAGAGCATCCTGGCTAAGGCCACCCGGCACTGGTCCCGCATCCCGGAGAGCACCCGCTCACACCCACCAGGGTTCACGGAGGAGCAAGGTGGCCCCGGGCTGCAGCACGACGCCAGTGAGGACAGCCTGGTGGGGACAGCCACCGGCTCCCCGGGCGCCAGGCTGCGGGTGTGCAAAAAGGGCGGCAAGGAGGTGGGGAGGAGGGAGGAGTCGCTGGGTGGCAGAAGGAGATCAAGGCGGTCACGGTCCTTCGAGGTCACGGGCTGTGGGGTAGGTGCAGGCATGGGGGGGTCGTGCCACCGGCAAGGCAGTGGAGCTCCGCCAGCAGCGGTGCCGTGCCCTGGGGAGGGCAGGGTGGGAAAGCCACCCCCAGCTCCCCTTGGCATCCCTTTGCCCACCATTGGGGTGTCAGCACCCTACGGTATGCGTCGTCCCCCCCACCCCACGCAGCATGGTTCCTCCCCAAAGTGCCATGCCCGCGGACCCTCTCTCCATCAGCTGGTGGCCCCCAGGGGACCCTCGTCATTGTCCAACATGCTGCAGAGCTGCTCCCAGCACGCTGTGCCGGCAGGGGTGCAGGCAGCCAACACCCAGGGCCCCCCCAAAGCCCTGCCTGGAGCAAAGCCCCTGTATGGGCAGCTGCCAGGTGAGCCCCCGGATGGGGACGGGGTGCAGGGGCCATCGCTCGCACCCCACGCCCCAGCCCCGCACCCAGAGCTGCTGCTGAAGTGCCCTTCCCCAGGTGCTGGGGTCCCGTCTCTGCCTCTCCCCCTCCAGCTCCCCACCAGCCCCATGAAGGGCCAGCACCCGCGGCTCGGCTGCATGACCAGGAACAGTGCCAGGGCCTCCGGCAAGGATGGAGGGAGTCACCGGTACTAAGCCGAGCACCTTGCTGGAAGGGGACCAGATCTTGTGCCAAGCCAGCGGGCTGAGCACCTGTCCTGCCAGGCCCAGCACCGCGCGGCATGCCCCATGCCGAGGGCTGCCCGTGGTACCCCGTGCCCATGCAGCCTCCTGGTGCCAACCTTGCTGTGGGCACGGCTGGCGGAGAGGGGCAGGGAGCAGGGTGGGGGGCCAGCCCTCCCCGTGCCAAACCCACCCCGAGGCAGGGACCCAAGTCCCTGGGGAAGGACGCAGCCATGCCAGGCAGTGACCCCGGCCAGAGCCTCGTGGCTGCTCCAGGAAGGGTTTCTGTGAGTACTCAGCACCCAGCAGATGCAGCCACGCACCCAGTGCCACCAGGTACCAATGGGGCCACCTGGGCACAGAGCTTCGGGATGGGCGTTTGTCTTTCCAAGGGGTTACATTAAAAGCAGCCGTGCTGAGCCAGGGAGTGGTGTGACTGCTGTGCACAGCCCGATGCGCTCCTGCCTGTCCCTGGGGATGGGGAACCCCCCCAAAGATGCCCCTGCATGCCCCACGCTCGTTTTCTGCTTTTATTAGGAAGGGGGTGGAGGGTGCCCACGCAGGGATGAAGCAGCTGCCAGCCATGAGCGGGGATGGTGCCCCCGAGGCCTCCTCCGCCGGGGGAGGCAGCCGGACCACCTGCCCCAACCTGGGCACCCACCCAGCTCACCGCCGAGCCCTGGGGTGCTGCTGCCGGGGTACCCATGCCAGCAGCCACATCCAGTGCCACAGCCTTGCTGCCCGGCACAGAGGGACCCCAGTGCCACAGGGCTGGCATCACAGGAGGGCTGGGCTGTCCCTGTCCCCATCTTCTCGCCCGTTGGGGTTTGTGAGCCTGGGACGGGGCTGCACCCGCGGCTGTGGGCTGCACATTTTGCCCCCCGCACCACCTGCACGGGGCTGGGGGGCTCACAGTGTCCCTCGTCCCCAGCTCCCCGCAGGCACCCAGGGACAACGATGGGGACGGGACGTGGCAGGGGACAATCGGGGAGGGGTGGGCGGCGGAGAGGAGTCCCAGGGTCCCCCGGCACGGAGACCTCCGTCTACCTATGAGCAGGAGGACCAAGCGCGAGCCCCCCCTGCGGGGCTGGGGCCAGTCCAGCTGTGGGACCTGGCTCTGCCTTGTTACTTCTTCACCTTGATGAGGGAGTGGTAGACGGGCTTGATGATGATGTGGAGGTGCAGGGAGTTGTCGATGAGGTACTCGGAGGTGCGCTTCTGCAGGTCGGCGTGGGCGAGGAAGTCGGCCGCCTCGTCTGAGCTCTGGTGAAAGCTGTAGGCGTGCTTCACCAAGACGCGACCCTGCTGCCGCACACCCACCAGCACTGTCTTCTGGAAGCTGACGCCAGCAAAGTCGGGGCTGCTCATGGCTGGGGTGATGACGAGCCGGGGGCGACCATCCTCGATGCGCACTGGCTGGACGGCGCCCGAGACCGAGTCCGAGTAGACAGGGCGCAGGCTGACGGGCAGCCAGCGTGGCGAGAAGAGGACGTTCCAGGTCACCCGCTTACTGGCGTCATGGCTGCTGGGACCCAGCTGCGTCTGGAAGCTGGTGCTGCGGTCGTCCCGCGCCGGGTTGTTGATGACCCACTGGGAGCCCCAGCTGGGCGCGAGGTAGTTGCGGGGCAGGAACATGCTGCAGTTGACGTCAAAATACTTGGCAAAATGGAGGGGGGAGGCAGCATGGAACTGGAAAGCCTGGAAGAGCAGGTCCTGCACCGCACCGTAGTGCCGCGCCAGCACCGCCGACTGCGCCTGCAGCCGGAAGAGCTGGCTGGGTGCGATCATGGGGTAGCGGATGGCACGGAGCACCCGTTCGGCCACGGGATCCTCGGGCTGCCGGCGGCCCAGCCAGCCCTCCACGGCAGTGTAGAGCTCCAGCTCGCTGTGCAGCACCAGGTCAGAGCGCTCCAGCAGCAGCAGCAGCAGCTCCACGCTCACCGAGCCCCACTCGGCGCTGCCCAGCACGGCCGAGAGGTTCCAGGCCAGGAACTGGAGGCAGCTCTCCTGCAGCGCCGCGTCCCCGATGCGCACGGCATAGTGGTACCAGCCCACCACGTGGCCCTGGCTCGACTCGCTGGCCAGGTGGGTCCTCATGTAGTCAGCCACGCCACGCTGCAGCCCCCACACCCGGTACTTGCTGGCCAGCTGGTGCATGGGGATAGCTTGGTGCAGCAGGATGGAGACCCCCCCGCAGTACAGGTACCTGGGGCAGAGTGAGGGCCGGTGACACTGATGTCCCCCCATCCGCTTCCCAATCTGTCGCCTAGCCTGAGGCTCCAGCAGCACGGTCCCCAGGGGAGCATCCTCCCTCCTTGGCTGCATTCCTCCAGGCATCTCCATCCCGTGGGGTCCCCGTGGTCCCCAAGCGAGCATCCTCCCTCCTTGGCTGCATCCCTCCCAGCGAGGTTCCCAGAGGAGCTGTGTCCCTCCTGATGTCCCCATCCCCTGGGGTCCCCACATACCTGATAAACTTCTCGAAGAGCGCAGCAGTCTCGGGCGGCTCGTGCAGGGTGACAACGCTCTGGTTGCGCAGGAGGCTCTCAAAGACCTCGCTCTGGAGGCTGAGCAGCAGCTGGTGGGTGTGGAAGACCCTGGCCTCATCGGAGGCGGCCGTACGCACCCGCAGCACCGAGTCGCTGCCGTTGCCGTTCTGCAGCAACTCCTGCAGCCGCTGCAGCAGCGTCAGCGAGTGGTTGATGGTGGCCGCCGTGGCGTCACTGCTAAGGTCGGCTTTCTGGGCTGCGGGGAGATGGGAAGGTCCCAGTGCTGCACCCCAAGAACTGGGCACGGGGTGATGGGGCACAGCAGAGTGGGGCCCGGCTGTGGGGCGATGCATGGTTAACGGGGGCTGGGGAAGCCTGGCTTTGTGCACATCCTCCCTCTGCTCCCCCCAGTGCCAAAGGGCTGGCTGGTGCCAAGGGGGTGTGGGGACGACAAGGGGACATGGGGACATTTGTCTCCTTGAGAGCCAAAAAACTGCTTTTCTGCAGCAGAAGGGGTGAGACCACCATGTCCCAGGCTGGGACGTGCTGGGAAATGGCCCTGTGCCGGGCAGCACTGGCTTGCAGCCGGCCCCTGCGCCGGGCAGCCCTGGCTGCCCGCCTGTTCTCCCAGCCCCAACCCCGCCCCCGCCGCAGGCAGAGCGAGCCCTGGGCATTGCCCACGACTCACCGCATCCCGGACTGACACATGGGGCACGCTCTGCCCCCACACGCAGGGATGGGGTCCCCACAGTCCGAGCAGCCTGGGGACACTGGCTGCCCCGGCATCACTGCAGGTTGGTGCCATTGAGCAGGCAGCTGCCGCACCATGCCTGCTCCCGGTGTGATCCCTGCCTCCTCGCTGACGCCAAAAACCGGCACCTCCTGCCCAGCCAGGTTTCGCTCCCCTCGTCCGGCTGTGTGTGCCGGCAGCCCAGCCTGGCCCCGGCGTGGGCACACACTGGGGGTGACCGTCCTCCCATGTCCATGTCCCCCCAGTGCCAAGCTCCCAGCCGGGATGGGGACCAAGAGAGGGGTCTCCGTGCTCCAGCGGGCATGGGGAGCCTTCCTTCTTCTCCTCCTCTTCCTCATGCCTGGCACGACTCCCACCCCCTCCCTGGAGCATCCTTCCCCCAGGGTGAATTTGGCTCCATCTCTCTCAAATCCCCGTCTCGCCGGCCGGCGATCCAGCGGATTACTCTTCCCAGTGCTGGCTTAAGCCCCGCTGAGCAGGGATGGGGAAGGGGATCGATCAGGAGCCCCTCACCCCACGGTGCTGGACATCACTGCCCACAGCACCGAGCCTTCCCTGAGCAGCGGTGAGCACAGCCCGGCTCTCGCTGCTGGCACATCCCGGGCACTGTGAGGCATGGCCATGGGGCATGGTACGTCCAGGAGCTGCATCCATCCCTCCCCAGGTGCTGCGACGGCTGCTGGAGAGCCGTGTTCAGCCTCCCACGGGCATCGCTGGACACCTGTGCTGCGTCCGAGCCCCACCCCAGCACCCAGCGAGGGCAGCAGGACCCACGGCATGGGGACCCCTCCACGCCTCCCCCCACCAGGGCCACCCTTACCGGCTTGCACGGTGAGGAGGAGGAGGAGGAAGGCAGCAGTGGCGCAGCCCCAGCGGCGGGCGGCCACGGGCCACGAGCCCTCCCAGCCCGCGCGCCCGCACCGCCACATCGATTGGTGGAAACTGGGACCGGCTGTTACCAAGGGAACCGCTTCCAGCCCCCATCCATCCCACCCTGACCCCGGACCCCAGCCCCGCACCCCAGGGTGGCGTGACAGGGTGCCCTGGTGAGCCCTGGCACAGCATGGGGGCACCTCCATTTGCCGCCTGCTCCTGCTGCTGCTGGGCACTGCCGTGCTGTGCCGCAGCCCCATGCCGTGCCGGAGCCCCACGCATGGCCACAGCCCTTTGTGCTGCTGGACCACTGGGATGCGGCAGCGGGGTCTTTGCATTCAGGGCACAGCTCGGCGTGGCCTCCCCGCTCCCCCCGGCTCATGGGTATTCATGTCGGCAGCAGCCCATCACCATGGCATCCGGGCTGCCGGCAGGAACTGCCTGCCCTTTTTCCAGCCTTTGCAGCCAAGAGGCTGCCTGTGCGGTGCGAGTGCCCTGTGCCGGCCTCCGCTGGCACCTCGCCTGCCACGATAGCTCTTGAGGGGCTTCGCGATGAGGCTGAGGTGGCGTTTGCCCCCCCCACCCGCAGCCCCGGTGCCACACGCTGGGGCTGGCACGGCTTGGGCATGGGGCTGGGGGTGGCGCTGGGTGCCCCCACCCTGCTGCGGGAGATGGGCACCCCTCTGTGCGGGAGCTTTCGCTGGCACAGCCGGAGCAAGTGGGGTGGGAGCAGGGGGGTGTCTGCACTCCACTTTTAGCTGTGGCCTCAGTGGCGTCATGGGTGGGGACCCAGGACCGGGACTCCCAGCCGGGACGTGACCGGGGGGACAGATCCCACAGATGGCAGCAGCCCGGCTTGCACGGGCACAGCAGCCCCTTCCCCACCGCCAGGGCTCCCTGTGAAGGTGGCAGTGGGCTGCCGTGCTGGGCAGGAGCTGCCGGGCACCGCACTCAGCTCTGGGACGACTGCGCAAGGTCACCTCGGGGTGCAGGAGGACCCCGCATACCATGGCAGGCAGTGCCGGGCCCCCCCTCCTGGGGACACCGCCGGGGAGATGCTGTGACCTTCAGTGTGTGGCAATGCTGGAGCCACGCGGGGGAATATCAACCATTCTCCATTATTGAGTATCTGTCCACGCTGATGGGATTAGCGCCGGCGCCCGCGGTATTGCAGCTTTGTGTTCAGCTGCAGAGCGAGGTGACAGCGCGGCGTGGCTGGTGCCTATTTCACGCCCTGCTCCCTCTCCAAGACCCACGGGGGGATGCCGTGCTGCGGCCAGCGCTGCCAGCACCCCACAGCAGGAGGGATGCCATGCCGTGGCCGGCGGGACAGGGAGCAAGCGGTTCTCAGGGCAAAGGCGGCCATCGGTGCATGCGGTGGGGTAGGATGGTGGTGGCCGGGGCTCCGTGCTGGGCAGGGGGGCTCCAGCTGAGTGGGGGGTGCTCAGCCCATCTGCCCCTTTGCGTCAGCTTGCCTGGCCCTGGCATGGTGCTGCCACGGTTGTCAGGGGTGCTTTCATGCCAGCGAGGGCTTCTGAGGACAGGTTTGCTTTGGGCTGGGAGCGGAGAGGGTGACATGGGGCCAAGGAGCGCCATCCCCGAGCACAGCTGTGGCCTGGGATGGCGAGTGAGGGGCCTGGGCTTAGATGGGGTCTCCAGATGTCAAGCGTGGACAGATGTTGCTGCAGCTCCCCGGGGGGGGTGGATTACCCATCTGGCCCTGGCCCGTGGGTGGAGGGGCTGGGGACAAGCCACCCGGCCATCACTGTCCCGTGCTCCCGGGGCTCCCCAGCCCCTCGCAGGGACAGGCAGGCGGGCAGGCAGGCGACACCATGCCTGGTGTGGGGCCGGGGCTCAAACTCTGTGGCCCCGTGGGGCAGGGGAGCCCCAAGAGCGGGGTGCAGGCAGAGCGCACAGCCGGGCATTACT